CAAATAAATATTGTATTTTTTGTATTAAAACATACAAATTAAATAGAAGAAATATTGCGTGATGTCGACTACTTTCGGTTTTTGTTTTAACGGTGTAGATTTCTAAACAAATTATTTTTAACAACTTCCACGTTTTTTTTAATTTGTAAAAGAATCGATTTTCGACGTTTGTATGTTGCATGCTAATACACCAAAGAAAAAATTCTGTTGGCGCCTTAAACTTTATTTTTAGCCTTAGAAGTATCTCGGTATTTTTTTTTTTTTTTGTTTCTAAGTGTGTGCTTGAGACAACTTTCGTTTCTTTAAGATTTCAAAGATTTTTTTGAGTAATTTTGGGAAAACTTCGAGCGTCATTCCATTTCTTCGCATCTAGGTATTCCCTGGAATTCGGTATTAAAAACCAACACAAGCATTGCATGTTACTTATTACGATCTAATTTAATTTTTGGTAAACGCCTTATGATGAAAATTTTGTCCTCATTGATTAGTATCCGAGCAACCTAATTTTATTTTTTAACACATTTATTTTCCATTTTTTTTTATTTTTTTTTTTTCTGAAATCTTTGTAAGAGACTTTATTAGTTATCCCAGCCTGGTGCTGCGACAGCAACTCCTCGCGTGTTTCTTCTTCGTTTGATGGGCACATGATATTTTCTTCCCGTGTTAATCAGTTCTAGATTCTGAGTATTGTGTCCGTTTTGACCTCTAACTCTTAAAACTTTCATCATTACTGATGGTTTATGAGTCGTTTACACCCAAAACTTAGTCATAAATCGACCTAGATAAACATTATTGATCTTCAATAAGGAAGGCGGAAATAGTACAGATACATATATCATATCAGCACTCCCTTGAGACACAGACCACCAAAGTATCTTTATCTTAAATATCTTAACTTAACTTCTGATGTCAGAGATTGTGAAGAGGATTCCTTCCCATTCCTTTTGTTGCCTGAGCTATACAGTTGCCAAATGTTTTCTATGATGGCCCTCGTTCATTACGCTTTTACAAAAGCTTCTAGGAGCTTCTGAACTTATTTGAACGAAACAGAAAATCTACTTCTGTCCGACAACTTATTTTTGGGCTGCAGAACCTTAACCCTTTGCCTGACAAGGAGTATTAACAGATTATTCTGATTATTCTGGTCGCTGGCAGTGTATTGGTTTGAAATGCATAGGTTTTTAAAACAATTCCAAGCCACGTTAGCGCAGGGGTTGAAAATTTAAACTTTTAGGATAATTCATTGATCAAGTAGGTCGCATTGCGTAGAGGTGGGCTGACATGTTTTTTTTTTTAATAAAAGAAATATGCTTTAATTCTCACTAAAAGTTACAAAAAAACAAAACGAGACAAGGAACTTCGTATGATTGAATATCAAGGGAATTCTTTAAATTGGAATCAATCTATTTAAATTTTAGTTTCATTCCCATGAAATTTGAAACAATACATTTTAAAATTGTGAGACGGTTTTTATTAAAATTATCAGGCGAGGAATTTCCTGGTTTAAATTTGAAATTTCACCATCCTGTTTCTTACAGTGCAAATCCTGCAAAGTGCGTATGGCTGCCACTGTACTGTTTGGTTAGGTTTAATTTTGAGCGATACAATTTCAGAGTAAAAAACGCAAATTGGGGTTTGACTATTATCTATCTATTTAATTTCATCTATTCCCTCACTTTTCAGAATTGAAAGACGACGTCTGGTTCCTCTACAATTAAATCTAAAAGTACATGGAAAGAGTATTTACAATATACACGTATCTTGAGAATTACATATTATTTCAATCTTTTCAACTCCAGTGTTCATAGTCTTTATTTGAACTTTAATTTACCCAAAAAAATCATATTCGCAGTAGAACTTGTTGTGTTGAGGTTTATATGCACAATCCATCAAAACGCAGCATTCGTTTTTCTTTATTTGTGGTAGCAAACCAAACATTATCTAACGTTCGTTACATTGCTGATTTTTGTAGCAAAGGTTACGTAGATCTTATGAACTGGTGCGATAGAGATTGATGCGATGAAAAATAAATCGACATGGATAATATCCATTAAAAGGAAAATACAATAATAACTAATATGGAGAAAAAACGAGAAATAACAAATTATATAAGAATTTATCAATGATTAATGGTGCGACTCCAAAGATTTATGAGTGTTAAGAAAACAATAAATTCTATATCATTTCCACACAATTTATTTCCTAGTTTTTCATTTCATTTAAACACCAAAAATCATCGCTTGATATCGGAATTGTAGAAACACGCCTACTAATTTAAAGGATCTCTAGCAATGGACTATTAACGCTATCGCGAAGGCTGCTTACAAGCGTACATCTTCGACCTTTGCATTAGAAACTCTTTTTCTGAGACCTTATATATTTTTTAATTATTAAGGAAAAAATAAATCATACGATAACGTGCAAACAGTAGGTAAAAGTCGACACAATTAGAGTTAATGTAGCTAAGTTTCGGGATTAACCCCTTTATCAGGCGAGAAAAAACACAAATAGGGGAGAAAGGTGCTATCTCTAAGAACAACAGTTAGTTGACAAAAACTGTCACATTCAGCTTAGTTACATGAAATGACAAACAGAACCTGATCATAGTGTGAACGGACCCAGGAGAACAAAATTATGGGTTTACATACGGTACATAGAGTAGGTTTAGTAATAAAGGTGTTCAAAGCTAAAATTGGACGGTTTCTGAAAGTAATCGGTAATTGGCATATATTTGGGATGAAAGAGTGTCTGAATTATAGCGATGACTATAGCTGTTATTTTTTTTTACTGCAAAGACAGATCTGTGGAAGACATGAAAAGCAATGAAGTGTTACAGGTTTCTGCTTCAGATTGTGTTAACGAAGGCGGGAATCACCATGCAAATTGCGTTGAAGGAAAACCAAAACCAAAACAGAGGTACACTTTTTCCATGTCAGAATGTCTCAACTGAATCACTGACAACAAAACTTGGTTGAAAAATATTATCTAGATCAACTTTTTCTCCAGTATTGGCAAGGTACCAAAATCATTGCGCTTTTTTCGTTTTGTGAAATGCCGTTTAATACTTTATAATATATACTTTTTTCAAATCAAGAAAGTCCTGTTATTTTCTGATAATAATGTAAGTGGTAGACCTTAGAGATGTTTATAACATGTAAGCTTTATAATTGATTAATAGAAGTTGATATAATTATTAAAGATATCTAACCCAAGGGATCTAAACAAGGATTTGACATTGATTGGATTTCTCAAATGAACACAGATTCTGTGCTGTTTATTTTTTCCGATAAATATTCTTGAGTGATTTGGAAGAAACACCACAAAGAGAACAACCTACTGTTCAGGGTGTCAACTTCTGCACAACTTGGATTTGATTTCACTATGTAAAACGACCATCGTTAATTACATTTGTCAATTACTGATATCCTTCTTCAACCTTGTGGAACACCTGTTGCCCTTCTATACATGGTTTTTCTAACTCGTGTCTCTTTCCGATCAATCTAATTCACACTGGAGTCCTGAGTTTTTTCTCTAATATGCATGTCTCAATTGTAACAAACAAATAGAGCGATATGACAGCCTCTTTTTATACGCCCACATGAAATGGGGGGCGTATATTGCCGTCACCCATATCCGTCCATAACTAAAATTAAGTTATTGCCCTTGTTCTTGAAAACGCGTTCAATTTTTAGCTCGTAAACACTCTAGAAGGCACAATTCTTGACAGATTTTGACGAAACTTGGCATGAGTGTTTGCTATCACCCAAGGATAAACACTTTTGAAAATCAGCAGAATCTAAAAATATTTAGTATGAGTTATTGCCCTTGTTCTTGAAAACGCGTTAAATTTTTAGCTCGTGAACACTCTAGAAGGGACAATTCATGATGGATTTTGACGAAACTTGGTGTGAGTGTTCGTAATCACCCAAGGATAAACCCTATTGAAAATCAGAAGAATCGAAAAATATTTAGTATGAGTTATTGCCCTTGTTCTTGAAAACGGGCAATCGTTAGCTTGTAAACAGTGTAGAAGGCACAATTCTTGACAGATTTTGACGAAACTTAGCATGAGTGTTTGTCATAACCCAAGGATGAACCCTATTGAAAATAAGAAAAATCGAAAAAAATTAAGTATGAGTTGTTGCCCTTGTTCTTGAAAACGCGTTCAATTTTTAGCTTGTAAACACTCTAAAAGGCACAATTCTTGACGGATTTTGACGAAACTTGGCTTGAGTGTTTGTTATCACCCAAGGATAAAGCTATTTGAAAATCAGAAAAACCGACAAAATATTTAGTATGAGTTATTGCTCTCAATTTTTAGCTTGTAAACATTCTAGAAGGCTCAATTCTTAACAGATTTTGACGAAACTTGGTGAAATTGTTTATTATTACCCATGGATGAACCCCATCGAAAATCAAAAAAATCTAAATATGTTTCATAGAAGTTATTGACTTCGTTCTTGAAAACGCTTTCAAACTTTAGCTAAACACCAATAGGCATAATTCTTGCCTGATTTTGACAAAACTTGGTTTTATTATTCAGTACCATGCCTTCTAGAGTTTTCACAAGCTAAAAATTGAATACGTTTTCAAGAACAAGGGCAATAACTCATACTCAATATATTATTTAGTATCGCCCTAAAGAATTCAAAAGAAGTGTATGACTGAAGGTTGAATATTTCATACTGGTGATTGTTACTGTACTGCTAAATATTTTTATTCATAATAAAAGCTGCCAGTGGGCGTATATTACGTTGCCTGGCAAGCTATCTTCTATAACACAATTGGTCCATTTTGTCCAAAAACGTGTCGCATTTGACAAGCTTTGATTGGTTTAGTGTAACGTCATTAGAACGGGACTTTGATGGAGAACTTGTTAGATTACAATAGAGATAAAAATATCAGAAAGGAAAAATTGTAATCTAATTTTCATTAGATTGCTTTCAGAGAGTCTCCCATATCAAATAACATTAATTGCTTAGTCATGATGGCCTACTTACCTCAGCTGGAAAAGGCTTTCCATTAATAGTATGTTCTGATCCGATCTTATCCATATTACCAAAATGAAATTTTATTTTGGAGAGTCTATATTGATATGATAAGGGCCCGAGAGAGATATTGATATGGTTATATCCTAAATTCTGCATTTCGATGGTGATATCTCTTCCCGTATTTATTAATACTCCTTTAGCCTGAAATTAAAGAGAGTTTTAAGTCAAAGATACGTTATTGAGAAAAATACACTGTACAAGAAGGAAGAAAGGTGTCGATACAAAACAACATATATACAACCATTTCGATTTTGACTATGGTTGGTCAACTTCCTGAGCACTTTCAGATGAACTTCAGTCGTTGCCTGCGAAATTGAGTGTTTTTTTAAACATAGAAAGGTTTTTTCTTCATACGAAAGCATTACTGAGATATAACTTTAAGAATGAAAATAGGCCAGCAGGTAACATGTTATCAAAGGTCCCTTTCCCTAAATACGCTACGAATAAGGACACAATAGAGGTCCATAGACATTTGGTCTGAATGGTTATTCCATTGTGGACAGGAATTCGTAAATGTCCAATGTAGCCTATAGGCTAATGGTCCCCATTGCATATAAATCGGCCAGAATTAATCTTATGAAGCTCTTTCGCAAGCGAAGCATGGTATGTTTTTTCATCTGGGTCACCTTGCGCCACTTTGTCATCTTGGCGTTCTTGTCGGAAAGTCCACAGAGTTAATATTGTTTATACTGTACATTTGTTTCATCATAATTATAGACTGGTATCAAGGGATCTGGGTACGAGGGGTCTAAAAGGCAATCGCGTTGAAATGATCTCCAATTCCAAGAGGCTAGATCTTCAGATCTTCAAGAATAGGCTGGTACTTACATCAGTATAGTTGATATGTAGATGTTTTAAATTGGGATCGTATAATAGTCTTGATGGATCTATATTAATAGGCGACTGTTGTTTGCCTTTCTTACACATTGCAAAATCTTGATTTGCTACACCCCAAAAATCTGGACCTGAAATAACAAAATTATCCGGTTACATTTCTTTCACCAGCAGAATATTTTTTATGAACGATTTACTGATTGCACGAACAATTTTGTACAAGACAGCGATTTGCGTCAAAAGCATTCCCTCATGCTTGTCGTGCTGTCAAAGAGCAGCTGTACAATAGACAGTTAAACATGGTTGCCACAAAAATATGACTGAATACGGACTGAGCTGTACTTGCCTAAAAAAGCGTTTCTTTGAAACTCATACACAGAAGATGACCTCCAACATGGGTGGCTAATACCTACTAAAAACGGAACGATTCAATAACGAAATTTGGGGAGAAATGCTTACCGGAAATTCCTTCGTAACTCCACCATAAATTCCATGCTGAATCTGATGCACAAAATCCTAAAAGTAAAGAGTAGAAAAATAACAAAGCTCCAACCAAACCATTTGTAGAAAGGCACCCAGGGTTCTGGAATGAAATTCGATAACAGAAAGGCAATACGGAATACCACATACTTTCAATAGTTCACTTATATCATTATTTTAATAAACCGAAATATGTTCTGAAATGCGCAAAACTCATTCTATCATCAAATTTATAGATTTGGCTATGTATTCGCCCGAACAGGCAATTATTCTTTAAGTCATAAGATTGCAGACAGTTCTAATTAAAATTATCATACAGTCCAATTCATGGTCTCTTAACCCTTTCGCCACGATATCATTCTTCATCTTTAACCCCTGTTCCGCCCAGAAACCAATTCTAGTTTGATATATCACCGACGACAGGAAATCCTGTTAAAGATATTGTGTTATTTTCAAGTTATTATGTCTTACCAATGATCAATTGATCTCGTTTGACTCTGTCTGACACTACCTCAATATATTATTTCTTTTTTTATTTAATATTCAATCAAATTTTACATTTTCTCAGACAAATTTACAAAAGTCAAATAACAAACATAAATTTCTTCATTTATTGATCATTTTTAACATCTTATTGAACGATTCTGACAACTTTTTTCACCGTTCAAGATGGCAATTTGGCTACTTGAAATAACTTTCAGTTTAATTTTGAGGTACTTCATGTAGATTTTGACTTCATTTTGTAAGTAAGTTTTTAAATTGGAATCCAACTTCCTACCGTTTATAAAAGCAATTTAGCTACATAAAATAACTTCAGTTTAATTGTGATGTATTTAATGTTGATTTTGACTTTATTTTGAAAACATATCAACTTTTTTTCACTTCAAAATAGCAATTTGGCTACATAAAATAACTTCAGTTTAATTGTGATGTATTTAACGTTGATTTTTAACTTCAGTTTAATTGTGATATATTTAATGTTGATTTTGACTTTATTTTGTAAACATATCAACTGTCTTGCAGTTCAAAAAAACAATTTAGCTACATGAAATAACTTGCAGTTTAATTTTGAGGTATTTTTGTAGATTTTGACTTAATTTTGTAAATAGAAGTAAGAATTGAAATTGGAATCCAACAATTCTGACAACTTTATCACCGTTAAAATTAGTCATTTCGATACATAAAAAAACTTTGGATTTAATTTTGAGGTATTTTATGAAGATTTTGACTAATTTTGTGAATAATTAAGTTTCAGATTTTTTTCCAGTGACGTCGTTCTTTATATATAAGATAAATGTAATTTGTTCATATATGACTCACATACCACTGAATTGTAAAACTTTTTATTTCAGGATTTTTTATAATATCAAAGCTAAAACCATAATATTTTTTATCTCATGTTTGTGTTGGTCACCTCATTTTTGTGTTGGTCAAGCTTACAAAAATTTCAGCATATTTTTAAATAAGTTCCCGAACGCCAAAAATTGAAAATTACGATTTTTATCTTTGTCGCCCCAAATAGTTTCAGAATGCAGCTAATAAATTCTATTTCTCAAAACTTTTCTGTGGTAAGAACCCTCTCAAACGCTCCCTTGGATGTTGGTGCCTAAGCGTTTCCACAGCTGTCGCATTCTTGGGAGGCTGGCGCCACTACTGCGACAGAACAGTTTGTCTTGGATCCACCATAAAAACCTACGCGGTTTGACTTTTACAAATATGGTGGACAAACAGTTTGATATAGTGGCGCCCCGAAAATGGCGTTGGACAATGAATGATGGAAAATTTTCATGAAAGAAATAAGATAAAATGGGATGGTGTTTTGCGGCCTACTTCTAAGTTTCAGATTGAACGGTGTTTCCATTGCACTTGATGAACGTGTAATGCGTTAAAATTAACCCAAAGCAGACAACAAAGGTAATACAATCGTATTCAGATAATTATCTTAATCTATGATACATGTTTATAAGATCGAACAACCATCAAGAAATTTGATCGGATCTGGTTGATGGTTCATCACGATGTACGGCCGAATATAGCGTGTACAACTCCCGTAAAACATTCCACTTCCGCTAGTTAAAGGACATGATTGAGTGAACCTGTCATGCGCAATGGAGATAAATAGAGACGAGAAAGAAATATCTGTCGCCAGTTGTATCAATAAATGTTGATGTGGCTCGAATTAGATGTGAGAATAATCTTATTTAAAGACGTATTGTAATGATGGTTATTGTAATAATGTAATAATATTACAGTAATCCAATCCACTCCACATCTCAATCAACACGCTATCTTAAAGGGATTATTTATATAAAATCATTTCGCCAACATCAGGTAAATCATTAAAAACGCATGGCACTGCACTATACGTCATACCATACGTAAACGTAGAAAGTATTATGAAATCGAATAAAACGTCAGATTTGGATATTTTTCAATTCTTTTGCCAAGAAGAGGGCTCTAAAAAGGTTTTCTAGACTACTAATGTCTATCGGGGACACTGGTAGCATCAATTTGCACCATTCCAATTTTCAGTCAGACGTCTGTGATACCTGCAATTCTACTAAACCAACACGTTTCATGACGCCACCATCTCGAAAGTTGTCAAGAATATCCAAGGGCCTTTAATATAATGACTACATAAACAATTCTTCTTTTTTGTGAACTTCAAGAACCACGGACGTTTTAATGAAGATTGGAATGGTGCAAATTGATGGCATAAACGGCCCTGGTATTAATGAAAAGTATATAAAACCTCTTTACAATCTCTTTAAAGTGAGGATTCTGTGTGGAGTTAAGCCAAAAAACCCAAATAGAAAAATTGTAAGCTGTATTTTAATCAGTCTGAAACTACTTTGAATATAATGTAATGTAATTTGAAGGGTATCACCAACTGAAATGGGCATTCAGACATTTTATAACCTCTCCACGTTTGGTCTCAGTTTACTTAGTGCGCCTGTCAAATCATTATCGCATACACCATTAGTTTGAAAATGTGCAAAATTGCTATCAGAATTCAGAATGTTGCAGATAAAAACACTGATTATCTTATGAAACTACCTCGACTATGAACTAATTTCTTTCGACTAACAACAACATGAAAGAAACACTTGATAAAAAATTACAATTTTCAAACAATCACACAACAGTTACAAACAAAGTTTTTCCTTCTTTGCATCGATGATAAAAGCTAACATTGATGAAAAAAGGCCTGTGTTCAAAGTCAAAGCCATAACCATCCATTACGACCAATTAGCAATTCCTTAAAAACACACCTTTGAACAAACTTTGTGACTTGATGGAAAATGATACTTATGATGAATTAATAATGACAACGTTATGACATTCTATTTGGTCTTGTTTTGTATTGTTCGGATTTCAAACAAACTGGTAATATATCGGCAATATCAAGCTAATTTGATAATAAATGAATTTTAACCCGAAGGCAATGCTGACTCACTGTCATCGCTTAATGAATCAAGAGAATATTTGTAAAATGTAAAATGGTCAAAATGGGTTGTTATTAAGCCGTTTGCCTGTTCCAAAATATTTTAACGAAGATAAAATTGATATTAGTGATTAACCAATCATATAACTAGAGTATTAAAACTATCCTAAGTTACGTTTTCGTTGTACAGGCCTCTTAGTCTATATCGTAAAAGATCTGCACCAGATAATTTTGACTTCTTGCAAACTCAAAGCAAGTGGAAACCTTATACCACGGACATTAACCCTGCGTTAAGTTGGTATCTATCCACCTTCATAAAATTTGAAAAACTTACTTTGCTTTGCAGATAAGACAAGAAAAGGTCGATAAAAAAAAAACAAAAAACAAAAAACTTATAATATAAATTGATAATGTCATTACCTCCGTTTAAAAAAAAATTGAGACTATTTTCTACATTCCATCTTTTTTCGAAAGTGAAAAAGTACTAATCTATTTAAAAAAAAATAGTTTTAAAAATTAGTTTTGGAGTATTTTTAGAGAAGCAGCTTGTTGTTAATCAGCTAATCCGATTATAGAACGTATTCACTCAAAAGAAAAGTTTTGGAAAATTTCATCCCCAAGGCATTTATGACTAAAGTAAATATATGACGAATATAAAAACATTAAAAGCTTACCGATGTCTAAAAAAATTGAAAAACCGAAGAGAATTAAATTAGTCCACATTTCTCTCATTTTAGCACCAACAATTGAAGAATTTTAACACCGTGCACTCAATAAACACCCCAACTTTCCAGTTGCATTTTCTCGTCAAGAGAAATAACTCGAGGCGACTGGCTATTTGTTAATATACCAACAGACAAATGTTTCGTTTTCCTGTGAAACACTGCCTGCCACTCGTGGTTTCCTATCGATTTTCTGGCAGTTTAGTGGCAAACAGTTATTGAAACTTTTCACTCATGATATGAAGATCTGAAATTCGCCTTAAAGACTTGTCAATGGAACTGCGATGTCAGTGGAATTCCTGATTTTCACAGATTGATCTAAGATTTTCTATTGATTTCTTTTATTCTCTTGTCAAAATGAATTTTATATAAAAAAAAAATGTTATTGGTTTATTTTGTTTATCCCATTCAGTGAATTGTTTTATTTTAAACGGATTCGAGTCATTACCTTCAGTCTAAATTATTCTACAATGATCACGTTTTTTCATAAGTAATTAGATCGTAAAAGCTGGTAATACACTTTACCTTTTTCTTGCTGGAGCCGGAAATTTCAGAGGAGACAGTTCTCTGTCTCGGTTTTCGTTGTCAGTGATACATGGGCTGACATGGAAAAAAACGTTTTATCGTTTGTAACAATAAAATACTGTAGGATGTGCAGATCCCTCGACAGATGAAAATCCCGAAGGTGGCATGGTATTATCCGACCTTAGTAACCGAATCAGACTCGGAACTCCATTTCACTTCCTGTGATGAAAAAAATTTCATATTGAGGTTCGAATCGGATACTAGTTTAAAGAAGGGTCTCTTACACTTACACATTCGTCAAAATAACCTTTCAAACCTAACCCTGCTATAACCAATCAAATTTCTACCCTCACCAGTGCTGGCATTTCGCGAGAGTGAAGGAATTTGATTGGTTAAAGCAGACGTCATCACAGGTTATTTTAACGAATGTTCAGCCCTTAGACCCTAACTGCAATTAAATAAATGCTACTAAAAAATAGATTTTAATTTGACACTCCATGAGAGGTTTGCGACGATGACTTCTGCAATGAGTTGCTGTATTTGAATTCAGCCTCGACAATTATCCCAGTCTGCCCCCTATTTGTACCCCCAGTTGCGTGAGGCTGGCGCCGCTACTGGTGGCTTTACCTGATGTTACTTTGTAACTCGGTTTGTTGGACATTTAAATCAGAGTCCACCTTGATTTTAACATTCTAGACTATTCTTGCATTGTAAGTAGCAATTTTAGGGGGTTGATTTAGGTCTTGAATATATTTAAATAGTCTTCAGAATTATCAGAAATGTACCGAAATTGCATCATCCTTTTAAATATACCTCCCACTAGGAATTTCTCTTTCTATTTCCAAGTCTCAAATAAAGACGACTCGTCATTTTAACGCGGATAATTCTCCACAAATGGCCCAAATTTCTACTGTGAGCTGTGAAGACTAATTTAAATAATTTTATTTCTGAGACTAGAGTACGATTGATCAAACGGATGGCGAATCTGCTCCTTTAAGTTTCTGAAAACGCTTGGTTGCTCTAATGATCAAACTTTAAAAGCAAATGTATATGATCTAAGAATAATATGATCTATCTAAATCTTGAAAGGCTACAGACCGAAAGTCCATTAGATTTTCATGTGAAATTATGTTTGTTTTGTCTCACTGGTTTAATGTTGTTCTCTGACACAATAGAAAGTGTTTTAGTGTCGATCCGAGAGTTACTCGATTTTCAACGATTACCAGGTTTTGATCATAATTGGACTAACGAAAATGGAGATGTCGAGGCTGTAATCATAGCGATCCTCGGTTTATCGTCAAATCTGACTTCCTCAAACTTCTTGTGCCCAACAGTGGACAACTGGGTAAAATATTAGAAAGCCCGGACCCATAGACAGCGAACATTCGCGAAACTAGCTGTATGACAGCAGCAACAAAAAAAACCCAGTACATTAGCTATAGACAATCTGGAAGAAAAGTATAAATTTTATTCTTGTGAAACTGAAATGTGAAATGAAATACGAAAGTGTGACAGATTACAAGAATAAGATCTTCATTATAAAAGACTGAATGCGACAACACGATTTATTGGAAAGTAGATTGTTAAAAGTCAGTTATCTCCCATGTACAGAAATACTCTGGTTGGTAAATTAACATTATTATTCTGAAATATCCCGAACGTGCTGTTTAAATTACTTGATAACATGTTGTTTTGAAAATGTTCAAGGTCTCTACAGGTTTACGCCTCGCTTCCATTCAGAAAAACGTGGATACTTATGCAAGATATGTAGATAGATGGGAAGCCATAATAATAATTTCTGTGAGAAAGTATATCAATTATAAATGAGGAAGTATTTCTTAATGATAAGCGGTATCAGGAATCAGGGCGCCTCACCCGCCATAGCTGCCCGATATACATTTACCAAAATATGAAGATAAAAAAGGAAATATCGACTGGGATGATCAAATTAGATAGTTCAAGGGAGGTAACTGATGAAGATGGGATCGAGTCGTGCTATTTTCAGAAAACCTCTTTCTCCTTTCCTTTTGAGGTTTTTTTTTTTTACTAATATTTGGTCTAGATTAGGAATTTGATGTCTGAAATTGCATTTTCTATCAGATTTTGTAAGATGATGAGATTTTCATGCGGAAGGATAATACTAAAAATAGTTGCAGTGACAATCAAGCGGATGTGGTCTTTTTTCAGTTTGACTAGCTCAAGATTTGATAATCATAAGAATTGAATTTTTGTCTTTTGTCCAGGCTTTTATGTGACATATCGGAAAGTTTTCAACGAGATTTATGGAAGGTTGAATTTCGTGATTTAACATGGAAGGAGATGGCAAACAAATTACTAGAGCGAGTCCTAATGTTCAACTGACCGAAGTACAGCCTTATTAATTCAATATGGCTCGCATTGCTCTGCAAAAGGTATACTTGGTATCTTCAAGTTAAAATAATAAAAATGGCTCATTAGGATTTGCAATTTTAATTCTTATTTTAAATGAAAACATAAAACATAAAGTTACAAGACTTCAATATAGCTCTTTAACATAATTAACTGGAAATATACCGGTTTTCCCATTTAATTTACCTCTCCTCCAATTTGCATCCACTTGATCCGTAACAAGTATGATATCGCCTTTCTTAAATCCCAGTTCGTCACTGCCCTGGGCTTCCAAATCATATAAAGCTTTGACAGAATTTGTCGGAAACATATCCTTTAGATATAGGTTCTGACCTCTGATGACGGATGACGTACGATGATATTCAATGAGCTGATTGAGAGAGTTAAATTTTACTATCCACAAAAAATATTTTCCAGCGCCGTCCCGTAGTACTTTCAGACGTTCCACGCTGTCGCCATTCTTCACCGACAGTTCAAAATCACCTGGTGTAGATTCACTATCTCTCAACAGAAACGCGCCGGTTGGTTGGTCTGGATTTGATAGGAGTGTGGTAGCATTTTCTTCAGTCATCCGACCATGATACCAGTCTGGAACGACGAAGTCGACATATTTATGTGGAATAGTACCTTCTCTACCATTTTGTTCTGCCTTGTACCAATTTTTATCATCAAGAATTTCAAGAATATTCAGTATTGTGTCTTTCTTAAAACTGAGCTCATCTTCATTTATCGCGTTGAAGTCGTGTATTGCTCTAGTCTCCATCTTGAAAACGGACGAGTGAAGTACAACTTTGATAAACTGAACACACCAATGTGAAGACGAAAACGTAAATGTGACTAGACTTCATCGTCAAGGTTGAACTGAGGTCATTTTATAATCGACCTATATGAAGCAAATCTAAGGTTTAAGAGATTAAGACGTTGTCATCACGACGTTTTAACTACGCATGGTCTGCTTTCAAATGAGTTTTATTGACAGCTTTTCATCTACACTTGAGTAATTCCGTTGAATAATAATCTTCTATTTTCGTTTGTATCGATTTTTCCGAACCGTACACCACACCGGACACCTTACCTCGTTAATTAATTGTCATTTCTAGCAAATCATCGTTCGATTGGTGCCTGATCAGAAGTTTTATTTCGGTGGTAAACCTGTTCCCTTCGCTCATCTTGAATTAGCCAGCTTTAATGGACTATCTGATGAACGAAATAAAGTAATGGCTCCTAATCTAACCAAAAGTAATGGCTCCTAATCTAACCAAAGTCGTGGAAAAGCATTTGAAAATACCACCTGCAAAGTAAGTCATGACTCAAAACCTACTTTGTTTCTGATGCATACCGAGTGTATGGTTAGATCATATCCCGCCCACTGTGATAAGTCCACTAACGCTTTGTACCATAGATTCAGCTCAAAGATGCGGGCACATGAGCGGTCTTGGTCGAAGATGTTTGTCGCTGATAAGAGTCTTGAGTAAAATTTCGCATCTTCCATGACAAGATGATCGCGTCTCCGACAAGATTTGTAAAAGGATATTAGTCTCCGATATTTTTAACCGTAATCATCCAATCAGATTCCTTTTCCTTTCAAGTGCATGCTCCTCACGTGATTACCGACATGGTGGAGAACGACCGACTGGAGTTTTTTTGTCTACTCGTGTGACCGTGAAAGTCGGTGAAACTCTTGACCAAAAAAACAGTGGGCGACAAAAATCTCAGACCAAGGACGTTCGTGTGCCCGCATCTTTACGGACGCTCTGAGTTGTCGAAAGACTTGGTACACTACTCTCCAAGAATATTATTGTTGCTGTAAATGTTCCTCATTGCACAGTAAATACCAAATCCAATCCTCATGAGGAAAATCTAGGGGGATAAGAATAAAAATACAAAATAAACAATGATATTATACGTGACTTTATCTCTACAATTGATGTATAGAGCACTATTTAACAATGGTATTTCTATATCACTCTACAATTGATGTATTGAGCACTATTACAACAGTGGTATTTCTATATCAATCTACAATTGATGTATTGAGTACTATTTTAACAGTGGTATTTCTATATCGCTCTACAATTGATGTATTGAGCACTATTTTAACAGTGGTATTTCTATATCGCTCTACAATTGATATATTGAGCACTATTTAACAGTGGTATTTCTATATCGCTCTACAATTGATATATTGAGCACTATTTAACAGTGGTATTTCTATATCGCTCTACAATTGATATATTGAGCACTATTTAACAGTGGTATTTCTATATCGCTCTACAATTTATCTATTGAGCATTATTTTAATTTATTATTGTACTGTAGCGTTGTTTATATTGTAATATTCTTTATTGAATAGGTAAGATGTCATGGTCTTTGAGTATTACCAGCACTGCTGGGGTGTCAGTATTTTTCTATAATTTCAACTGTCTATTGTTATATCTTACATCGCCTTTGATACCCAATGTGCACATGACTTACTTATTCAATAAAGAATATTACAATATAAACAACGCTACAGTACATGGCTTATTGAATATTTCAGGATATTGCTAAAATTTCACCGCAGTGACTCGGCTGACACTGGTATTAATGGAACTACATTCCCGAAAGGACTCTGATAGAATTTATATTTTAAATGATTCACCAACATTAATAAATTGTTATTGTCTGAGATCTGTTATCTCTATAATTCCGACTACCCGTAATACTTTGCAAATTCAGTATAGTGATAGCTCCGACTACTCCGAACGATTCTACCAGTTCGTTCAATGAATAAAAAAAAAGCCTTTAGTAATAAGTGACAAGCATGGCTTGAATCCGGCCCTATCTGTTGAGATATTTTAAAGCATCGTAAAGGATTACCCATGCGAGAAATTAATTATCTTAAGTAGAGATCTACAATAAAGGTTTACACAGAGAGATTTTATTTACTAGTTTGAGAATCCGGGATGGAAACAAGATTTACGTCCCTTGAAATACAGAAATGATTATGTCATGTCACAAAGATTTGGTTCGACACACTTTTGTTGGTGAATTGAATTTGATTAGATTCTTGATGAGATCGATAAGATAATCTGACCAATGAAAAATATCAGTTCTCAAAAGCACCAACTTGTAACTTTTAAGAAACTACTTTTCATTGGTGAAAATATATTAACGGCATCTTTTTTTTTATCTGACGACACAAGTGGGTTTGTTTTATGTAAAATTGGCTGTAGGCAACACCAATCCTAATGAAAATAAAAAAAAAATTAGATTCGGTTTTGCTTAGAGAAATAAGTTCTTCAATTGAAATATAATTAGATGAGAGGGGTTTATATAGATCATATTTCGGAAAACATTTTGTAACGAACCGATTATATGTCTACCGTCTGGGCTCTCGTTACGATAAAACTGTCATGTTAATATCCTACTGTACTTTCTAACCTTGAGTAGGAGGACAATCTATTAAAGCAGCAAGAGGACACTGGGTGATTTCCATGATGATGTCGGTGGTGATGTCAACACCCAACAGCAACTTTAAAATGGGATTACACCAACACTTGGTGTTACACCAACACGTTAAACCAACACTTGGTGTTACACCAACACCTCTGCTTGATTTCAAAGTTGGTGTAGAAATAACAATAATAATAATAAACTCTTTTTTTACATGGTTAAGAATAAGAATATTTAAGGACATGGTCCTGGATAACACTCAGCCCGCGGGACAATATAAGGAATGAATGAGAAAAAAAACAGTGGGGAAAGTGTTCGTGTAAATACTTGTTGTTACACCAACTTTGAAATCATCCAAATCGTCTATTTATTGTCTTTAGCGAGCTGGTTTCCAATATGGCGGATACCAGCGAGCATCAAAGAGAAAACCTGAACTATTGTAAGTATCCTGGTGAAAACTTTTAAAACTATCAGCGTCTTATTCTGGCCTGAGGTTGACTGCTCGAACAATTCATGGTAATCAGTCGAAGCCTCCCCTGGTGTCTGAAATTAGAAAGGGACAATTGAAATCATTAGGACTGAAGCTTCTTTGTATGTCGTTTTGGGTTGGTTCGAATAACCAATAGGAAAGAGAAATTTTCAACTTTATCAGTGGTGTTGGCATTGATCATGGATTTGTTGTGCCGGTAAGTTTCTCTTGAGTGAATCTCAGTCTAGTGTATTAAGTACAAAAAATAAATTTGTGTACTGAAATACCAAAAATACCAAATCCAAAGATGGGATTAAATGCCGATTTTTCTACGAGTTGATCCGAACTATGACATCCGCTATGACAATAGCCATATTGTTTAAGCTTTGGTATCTATAAAAAGCTGAATCGTTTATGGAAGTTTAAATATGTTACCAGGTATTCAATAATGTCGCTGTGCTCCACACGGTACAACAAAACATTCGAAGGTTAGGCTTCAGTTATTTTTCAGGCTAGTACTATTAAGTTGCGTATTGTTGCGAATAATGAAAGAGGTAATGAGTTCAGAATGCGACTCACAACTCAATTGCAATAGATTTCGGGCAAGGGAGGGTTTTGATTATCCAAATCATCAAGAAAACGACCATAAAACAATTGGACAAAGGGGTAAAACCTCTAACAAGGTTGTTTTATCTTTATAAACCACTAGAAAGTGATAAAGTAAACAAGTAGTTCAATTCTCTCCTCCGGCTAAAGAGCAGTTTCCAGAAAGCAGCTATAAATAATTGTTTACTACACTGAAAAGAAGGAAAACAGCTGCCGTTGATACCAAACTGAAACGACAAAATAATAAATACATTTTATTTAATTTCTTCCTGGTGTCACGTTTGTGGTAAAATATCACACTATGAGTACATCTATTTCCTCCTTCATGATTTGGTCAGTTCATCGACCAGTAAACTGGACTAACTATTATTTTTGAACTACCAGAATATTTTGGTCATGTGACAATCTTGTCTTGGTTCCAATGAACAATGGCTGTCATTAAATACTTTATGTTGAAAGCGCTAAAGGAACTTACACGATAGTCGCTTTGCATCGGCTATTTAGCGATTAGAAATTTTCAATATCTTTATACCTTTACACCTGAAATTTTCATATTTTTCTCTGTAATTATTTTTGATCAGCTTCAAACTTCGTCCTAGTTTAGCGAGGAAGTTCAGTGAGGTCAATACGCTACCGACAAGAATAATAATGAAACAAAAAGTCCTACTTTTCTCCACCTTATGTGGTAATTTTACCAGGCTCCGCATTAACCTACACATTTTCAATTTGCAATTGTGTTTAAGGATCTTTAACGGGCACATCCTGTAGCACACGGAGCTTCGGTTTATTGTCACATCCGACCTGCATCACTTACGAAGGGAGAAAACCGGGCAATCTATTCCTCCCTAAAATAAATCAGTCATTTTGATACGTATTTCACTCGAAAAGTGTATCACATGATTGACAACGAATGGATATCAAGATAGTCAAATACAATCCTTGGGCCTAATGTTCATTCTCAATTTCAGTCGTAGACCTAAGCTGTCTTCAACGAAATACAATTCTTTGTGATTACAGCAATTACCACGCAGAACCCATACTCCACCAAGTACCTTCTAGGAAATGGCAACAGTAGATACTCCCCCTGTTTGGCACTTATTCATTTATCAGTCAATGATCCGACTTGATATTTGCTTTCAAGTGTGATACACTTGTCAACTAAAAGTACATTAATCCAGACGGTTGAAATTAACATAGAAACCAAATGATGCTCAGTTACAATTATTCCTTTACTCTTTTAGCACTGAGTGAGAATAAATAAAACGTCAATACCACTCAAAGTAATATGGCTGAATGTAATGTATTATAAGTCTGAATTGGAATGGCCCTTGCATGGCTTCATCCTTGTCTAACGCCACCCACTACCAAAAATAGGAAATCCCGATTAGACATTTCAATTTTCCCAGGGCTCCGCACATTTTGTGGTAACTTCTGTCCCTTCTATCTGTAAATTCAACTGATTTGGGTGTGATCTAGTGAAAGTAAGTAGAATTCACCAAATTGTGGTTACAGTCATATCGTTTATAATTTTTACAAGAATAAACTGGTGTCTGGCACATGAAAACATGTAATTATTTAAACGATTTCATGTACTCGAAGCACAGACATAAAATTATAGCTATCTCGTTAACACATCAAACCTATTGATGGCTGGACTACTTTTCAGATACCTTACGATACTGCTGGTTCCAGTTAATCAACTATATTCCAAAAACCTAATGCTGATCTGTATTCCAGATAACTGGACTACTTTTCAGATACCTTACGATACCGCTGGTTCCAGTTAATCAACTATATTCCAAAAACCTAATGCTGATCTGTATTCCAGATAACCTTATACTGGTTTATATTCCATATAGCCTTATACTGGTCTATATTCCAGATAACCTTATAGTAGTTTATATTCCAGATAACTTAATACTGGTCTATATTTCAGATAAACTTATAGTGGTTTATATTCCAGATAACCTAATACCGGTCTATATTCCAGATAACCTTATACTGGTTTATATTCCAGATAACCTTATGCTGGTTTATATTCCAGATAATCTTATACTAGTCTATATTCCAGATAACCGGTCTATATTCCAGATAACCTGATACTGGTCTATATTCCAGATAACCTTATAATGGTTTAAATTCCAGATAACCCTATACTGGTTTATATTCCATATAGCCTTATACTGGTCTATATTCCAGATAACCTTATACTGGTTTATATTCCAGATAACCGTATACTGGTCATGCTGGACTACATTTCAGATAACATAATGCTTATGTTAATTGTGGATTTAGGACGGACTACATTTTAGATAACCTAATACTTTATTATATTCCAGTCAGCCAATCCCGATTAAACGTGCACTAAGCTGTACGCGATTTCTTCGTAGACTCAGCACCCACCACATTCATTGAGTAGGACGTGGTTATTTATGTTCTAAGATTGTGGGTTAGTAGAACGCTAAATTTAGCAACGCTGGTGTATGTTGGTCAATAGGCTTTGAGCTATACTGATATTTTTTGCGAATGAAGAAGCCATTTAAAAGCTAATATCAATCGTCAACAGTCACCAACGCCAAGATATAGCTTAATATGGAACGGAGGGAGTTGGCGTCTCAACTTTGCTGAACTATCTTTTACAATTAAAGTTACTAGACTAAATTGAAAAGTGAACATGGTTTTTGGGGGAAGTCGTTTTAAAGAACTCTCAGAACCTTGCCGCGTATTCACAGAATTAAATGCCCGAATTTGATCAAATGCGTGGAGAAACCAGACTTCGTGTCTTTCATGAGCTCAAAGCGGTTATTACACCACTGAATGTATCAAACGCTTTAAGAATTAATGCACATTACGATGTCAGCACCTCGCTAGACTAGATAGAGATAGCTAACGATTAATACGCCGATCCACTTTTGATCATCCTCTCACACATCTAGTCACCAAATATTTCTCATACTCAACTTAGGTTTTACCCACATTCATACTGCTCCTCGCATCAAGAAAAGGTAAAAAATGAAGATAAATGTGATATAGCAGAAAAAATGTGCCCTAAGGAATAGATGGATATTTGTTTCCTTTTCTCTGATACGATTAGTTATGCACCTGTAACAACTGCTGAAAAAATGAGTAAAATTTTAAAGAAAGGTTTGTCGCTCCAGAACGAGAGCATCTTCGTAAAAGTAATCCTTAAGCGACATTTAGGGGTAGAGATCACATTAAAGAACGGAACACAATTTTATGGTATACTACTCCTTAGATAATGGAACACAATAGAAATAGTTTAATCTCACAAAGAATTTGGTTCATATTATCAACATTTAGCCTTTTGAACAATAAAGCCAATTGTTATACAAATTGGGTTAAATACCAGACTTGCAGGAAATCTGGATTAATGAACAAAGGACATCAGATTCCAAGACTATAATTTTACATCATGGTTCTAGAGTTTAATGAGCTTAGCTTTCCGTTGTATTGATTTATCATGTCAATAAATTGTCAAAGTCTGTAAAGATTGACCTATATCTTATTAGAGGCACATGCATTATGAAAGCCTTTTTAAACGCCCACGTGAAATTAGGAGCGTATATTGGAGTCATCATTCGAAAACCCTCTACAAAGCAAAATTTATTGCCATATTTCGACGAAACTTGTTGTGGGTGTTTGTAATCACCCAAGAAAAATCAGAGAAATCGAAAAATATTTAATGTGAGTTATTGCCCTTGTTCTTAGAAACGCGTCCAATTTTTAGCTCGCAAGCACGTGACTCCCTTACCACAATATTTCTTACTGATCTTAGTTCAGAGAAGGTCAAACTTTATTCTAAAGATGACGTTACTCCCTTACCACAATATTTCTTGCTGATCTTAGTTCAGAGAAGGTCAAACTTTATTCTAAAGATGACGTTACTCCCTTACCACAATATTTCTTGCTGATCTTAGTTCAGATGGTGTCAGACTTTATTCCAAAGATGACGTTACTCCCTTACCACAATATTTCTTTCTGATCTTAGTTCAGATAGGGTAAAACTTTATTCTAAACATGAAGTTACTCCCTTACCACTATTTCTTGCTGATCTTAGTTTAGATAGGGTCAGACTTTATTCTAAAGATGACGTTACTCCCTTACCACACTATATTTTGCTGATCTTGGTTCAGATAGGGTCAGATTTTATCCTCAAGATGACGTTACTCCCTTACCACAATATTTCTTGCTGATCTTAGTTCAGATAGGGTCAAACTTTATTCTAAAGAGACGTTACTCGATTACCACACTATTTCTTGCTGATCTTGGTTCAGATAGTGTCAGATTTTATTCTAAAGATGACGTTACTCTCTTACCACAATATTTCTTGCTGATCTTAGTTCAGATAGGGTCAAACTTTATTCTAAAGATGACGTTACTCCCTTACCACAATATTTCTTGCTGATGTTAGTTCAGATGGTGTCAGACTTTATTCCAAAGATGACGTTACTCCCTTACCACAATATTTCTTGCTGTTCTTAGTTCAGATAGGGTCAAACTTTATTCTAAAGATGAAGTTATTCTCTTTCCACAATATTTCTTGCTGATCTTAGTTCAGATAGGGTCAGACTTTATGCTAAAGATGAAGTTATTCTCTTACCACAATATTTCTTGCTGATCTTAGTTCAGATAGGGTCAGACTTTATTCTTAAGATGACGTTACTCCCTTACCACAATATTTCTTGCTGATCTTAGTTCAGATAGTGTTAGAACTTTATAAAAGATTACGTGTTCAGATCCTTAAATGATTGACGTAACACATAGAAATCAAACGAAACAAAATATCTGGAATTGTGGCTGTATTAATCTGTAAGCGACCATATTTAACATAAATGATTATAGTGTTCCTCCAAGTCAGAAGTCCATTATTATTCCCTATGAGAAATTGTATGTTAAAGGGACAGGTGACTATTTTGGGGGGAGGGGGGATTGATTAGAGTGTTGAATAAAAATTGACGAGTCGTTATTTTAACATTCAATCGTGGATAATTCTGGACACACATGGTTTCCAAGGCTAAAATTTCGACGGTGAGCTTTGAACACTAAAACTGGCATAGCTAAATTTCTGAGACTAAAGTATGATTGGTTACAAAATCTCCTACCTGCCCCTTTAACAAGACCAACACCGTCCACGAATTCAGTTTAATTATCTAATCACCAACGCAGAAGAACTACAAGTATATATCTACCTACAGAACCACAGTATATAATTTTCTATTACTTAGGATTCATCAAATCGTGGTCAATCGTATGTTACAAGTACTGCTTGTACATGAGAAAGTCAAATTCAATTAGTTTCTCATAATTGCGGCTAAGTAAACGGCTAAATCGGGAACACCAGAGCTAAAATCGGAATAAATTGTACGTTATAACAAGGTTGGTATAATTTTACATAGGATAACCAACAATCATCTATTTGTGTTATAACGCTTGTTCCGCCATTTCGGAGCATGTTCGGGTACTGTACTTGGATAAGTTAAGCACTGTGTACGCAACGCAGGGCCAAAATATTTGCTGCATTGGTACACTTAGGCCACATAGGTTAAGTCCAATTGCAGAGTCAATAGCATTCTTGCTTCCATAGAAAACCATACATTATATAATTTGCTCTAATTGACTGTTTGTAATGTTTTCAAAATTTTCAGGGTCAGAAAATGTCAAAATCTCTTTTGAATGGAAACAATTTGAATAAACAAATTTATCGATATCGGAAAAAATATTTTAGAACTTTGAAACTTTCCAATTCTAACTGGCGTTTTGATTTGTTTAATTGATTATATAACAAAAATGCTGAAAATCTTTTGAAATTTCTAGTTAATTATCCTTTAATGAAATCAATGGTAAACCAACGACCTAATTCAATAATTCGTTCAACCAAAGCTGAACTTGGAAAAGGCAGAATTAGATTTACTGTCACCGAGTTAAAACCGGTCATCGTCCTTTTGATACATTAATGACTTTATTACTGGTACTAATGTCGTATTAGTAATAGTCATTAATGGATTATTGTACTGTTATCCTTACAAATGCTGGCCAACCATTTAATTCTGCAGAAAAGCTGTCATATACTTCAGTCAATATGTTACATGGCTTTTATTTCTTTAAATGCGCCCATGTCCTAACAATTTCGGTCATCTAATTTCAAACGACAGGTGTTCCGGATCTCATCCAGATAATTGGTTGACTTTCCGAAGCTAGAACTTGTTGCGTATGATGTGAGAGATCAAACTTACAGAACAGGAGAAGGGTGATTCTCTCGGTGAAATTGCCCATACCAATGACCCTATCCCACTGTCTCAACTTTCACAGGGACGGTTGAACCACTAAGTTCTGGACTAATAACTCTTTCTTTGGGCTACCGGTGACTTCACTACATTATGAAATACTGACTCTTGCTTTGGGCTTATGGTTTTTTGACGAAGTTTTGAACTAAATGGGTTATCACTTCATTCCGAAAACGTTTCACGGAGTTGCTGCTAAAGGTAAATGTAATACTAGCGAAGGAAAACAAACGGGATCGGAACGGAACGTGAATGTCGGTATTCAATTATGTAAATGTCAGCTATTTAGATCAGCATTTAGACAGGTTCACCACTCTTCTAATTACATTGGATTGACATGTTACTGATAATGTATTCAAGTCATTAAGACAGGTCAACCAAGGTCGTGTTGGTACTTATAGTGTTAAAATCCTTTCTTATTCGATACAAATGCGTGTTGCTGTGAATGGTATTAATATTTGGAAATGGGAAAGATCGGCAAAGAAGTCATCGATATGTATACCACATAATTCAGAAACTGTTACCGTTGATAGCGAGGTTTGTCCTTACCATTTGTCCATTCCTTCCCCTTATCCAGAGAACAGAGGACGATAATAATCATTTTCAGATTTGCATGTACTTTACTGACGGTTATATCATTATGTAATCGAAGATCTTACGCATAATATATAGTTCATGTATATGGAACAGTCGGGCTTCTTGGACATATGTCTGGGTTTTAAAAAATTTGTATTTCCTGCTGGAATGTCTACGTATTCGTTTTATTTGGTTCCAATTTTGAGTTCACCAACATTTTATTTTTGAAACGCTACCTAGCTTGTTTTATTGAATGCAGTGGATTAATTGGATTGTACGCAAGCGAATACAACCCCTCATAGGCTCCGACAGACAGACTATAAAAAATATTGCCTTTGTTTACAGAATATCTGTCAAAGACTGTACATTAACAAAGTTCTGTGACAGCGGACAGGTGGCTATCGCAGTCAAGGTATAGTACGAAGTTCGTTATAGCTTGCCGTTTCAATTACCTGCTGACATATGGACTGCGATGACATTTTTCAAATCTATAATCAAAGCCAATGAATCTAAACCAGGATAATGGTACAACATGATTAATATTTTCAAGAAAGGAAGAATTAATCGATGGTCTAATTAGGTATCATGTAATCAAGTAGGGCGGAATCCTGTAATCGATATTTAATTATAGGTCAAAAGGAAGTATAGAGTCTGGAAACGTTATGTCAAGTTAAAGTAGCTATTCCACATTCCGCTGCTCTATAGACTCGATTGGTCGGAGAGGCAAGTTATATATCTGGGGCTATGTCGTATAATGTTTAGTTGCAGTAATGGAATTGGTCTTTCGTTAGAAGGTTTTTAAGGAGGGCAATCCATTTTTTGCAATCCATTTTTTTTTTAACCATGCGCAGCTTCGTATGTATGCCGTAATTGATCTAAATGATAAAAAATAGTAGGTTCTTCTTTGCCACGAGATGACAATTATATCCAAAGACAGCTTATAGACATAAAGGATAAATTAAATATCATACTTGTCATACAAATCACGTGATATATTTTACAGCTGTCATCATTAAACATGGATCATTATTTCAGGTATCTTTTTGTTGATTAACCAAAGAAATACGGGATTAAGGTAGATTATAGATGAGAATATATCATCTAATTGGCTGAACATTGCATGACTGATGATAAGGCGGTAATTACATATATTAACTAACTATACAGACGACATCTAAAAGAATAATATAGGTCTTATTAATCTCGGTAGGAAAGAGTCCTTGTCATAAAGTCTCATTATACCGTTGGCTCGCATTTTCACAATGTCAATCTATTACAAACTATGTCTAATACCACGACATCATTAGGGTGGCTCAGTGAGTTTGACGCCTGCTCGCGAACCTGAAAGTCCACGGTTCAGCCTGGTCATAGGTCGATTTTTCAACTTGGTTTTCCCCGTCAGTGATGCAGGTAAGAGGGGCTGACATGGAAAAAGCGTCTAGTCGTTCGAATGGGACAATAAACCGAGGCCCCGTGGGCTGTGCACGTTAAAGATCCTTCGACAGTTGGAAATCGAAAAAGGCAGGCTAATACCGCTGTCCTAGCAAAATTACCCTCATTGTACACTGCATGTTGTTGTCCGTCTTCATTAACCCACATGGTGCAGAAAAGTAGGACGAAAAATCCATTCATTTCATTTCATTTTTTGACATCATTCGACATTTTTTTTATCACGAAAGTTTGTAAATGGAGCGATATGATTGGATTGGTCGTTAAAAAATACAGCAAATCAGAAGCCTCGACAGAAAGTCAGAAAAACCATAAGCTATAATATTTACACTCTTTCTGTCGATCTGCTGCATTCCGTGATACAATAAAGATCTCAGTAGAAATGAAGCCTTCTCATAAAGTCTCGGCATTCTGTATGCTTGACGCTCATAACGATGTGCGTTCGAGAGGAGGTCTAAGTAGCGATCACGATATTGGCTGGAACATTTTTGGGTTGGGCTTCGATTACAGGAGCATAACATTTACTTTAGTAACTCTTTCGTGGTTTCAATCGCAGATCGATTACCTATCGTTTGAGTTCATCAGGGGCCAACGTGGAGCTAGCCTGATTTGACCCAGAGGACAGAGAAAACGTCGAGCTTAAACTCCGCAATGCTTTTGCACATTGATTCCCTACAATTACGCTCGAACGGTATTTCAGTCTTAACGACTATTGACTCCCCTTATCGGTTTACATAAGGAACCTTGTCATTTTGATTTCCAGGATTATTACAGATCTCTTTTATCGATACAATTCCATTGATTACAAAAGGGATTGTAGACGTCGGCATGGAAGTCACGATGTGAAGGAACATCAGACATCGGCAAGGATGTCACAATGTAAGGGAACATTAGACTTCGGCCGAGAATTTCTGAAACAAGACCATCGACGTCGACCGATAAGTCCCGATAAACAGGAACCTCAGATGTCGACCGAGAATCTCAGTCGTCGAACGCACAGTCCGCATGACCAGGAACCACAGATACTGGCTAGGAAGAAGTCTGTTATGTTTTTGAACCACAGATCTCAGCCGGGATGTTCCGATGAACAAAAACCACAGATCTCAGCCGGGTTGTTCTGATGAACAAGAACCACAGATCTCAGCCGATATGTTCCGATAAACAAAAACAACAGATCTCAGGCAGGGTGTTCCGATGAACAAGAACCACAGACCTCGACCGGGAAGTCTCGCTGTATACCACAGATTTCGGCCAGAAAGACCCAATAAACAGGAAGCACATACGTCTGAAGGGTAACCGTAATCCGCATAAACTAGAACAATGGACGTCAGCCATTGTACAGGAACCACAGACTTTGGACGGGATAGCAGAATGGTGCAAATATAAGTTACAAGTGTTTTTGCAATACCCATACGAAGGCGGGAAATCTCTTTTAAGGCCTGTTGATAGTTTTTCAGATGATTTGGCGCCTAACCTTATCTCAATCCAATAGTACACAAGTACCCGGAACCGAATTTTAGTTTATACAATCATAACCGTAAACGACCAAGGAGTAAAAAAAAATCTCAGAACCTCCGGCTAAACCTACTAAAACTGCTCGCTTCATTTCCGGATAAAATGAACTCAATTGAAGTTTAAAAAAAGAACTGATTCAGCAGGTGAAATGAATGCTTTGAATAGCGAAAAGGCAGAATATGGTGAATTTACTGATTTTTATAGTACAGTAGCTATAAAGTGGGTCAAATACCATTCTGATTTTAGTTCACCAGTATTGTAAAAATTCCATGCTTGATAATTGAATGAAAAATAGTGTAAACGACGAAAATAATTAAATGAAATTGAAAGGAATGTTACGTCCAACGAAGACAGGGAGACGTTTGATATTTGATATTTTCCTGATACGGACAGTTCCTTTGCCGCTACCAATGGATTGCGAAACTGTTCGTACTGGCGTGGACTCTTACTGGCAAAAAGTAATACGTCTTTGGAAGTTTTCTAGCAGCTGGTCTTTGATAAAACTGTTAGGCAAAAATCTTTTGAATAACATTCACCCCTTTTACAACTAGTCCAACGACTTTCATGCGCTGACGCGATTAAGGTAACCGGTTAAGTTAGCCTATACAAGTAAACGAGTTCTTATCGACCATAATTAGTCCCGCTGCTTTTTTCAAAACCCTTATACGATACCTAAAGACTATCCTTTCGTCTTAAAATGACCCTCTTACGCGCCGATGCCGAGTGAGCATCACTAACATATATAAGGGGAGGGATGTACATAAAATATAAATGTTAAATTTATATGGTCTAGATTTCAAGAATTGGACAAGAAGACGAAGTGAACTTTTTGTGTAAAATACCAAAGGAATCCCTTGAAGGAGTAATTCGTTTATAATATAAACAAAAATCATGATTTATGCACCAGGACGCGAATTCTCGAAACAATCTTAGCGTTAAGATGTTCTAAGCTCTTCATTTCTTACACTATTTCTACTTCAAAAATACGTGGCCTGATCCCTGAAATTTTGACCGAAATAAAATGTCCAAAATAGAAAAGATATTTACAACTAAACTTGGTCATCTAGTCAAGTAGTAAACATGTTGGTTTCATAAGTAGAAGAATACCAGTACATTGACAACTAAGGCAGTGCCTATCATTGATCGGTAAACCATTTGATTGAAATAAAGAAAGTAGAACTGCTCTTGTCATTGGCTGTCTTCAAACCAAAGAATATAATATAAACACCTTCCTATTATAGATAAACATGCTCGTGGCACGAAAAGGAATCTTAATACTTCTCTGGTACTGAATGCTCTTTACTTATAACTGATGTAATTGTTGGCTTATTGGTATTGGAATTTTGTCTTCTCTGGTAAGCTATTAATACTTGAGTGAAGTACAAGCTGCCGAGAGTTGAAACATTTTTTATTAAATTTGTTCGTCGAAGAGGAAGCAGTAAGTGTGAAAATTGAAAATTGAAAAATCAGTTAATTTCAATCGGTGATGATGTAAACAGCAGGAAATCCAACCAGTACAAAAGACAAAGGAAGTTCGAACACAGCCAGTTGAGAATTGAAAAGGAACAGATGATTGTCAATCTTGAAATTTGAAAAAAGATTCAATTATGGAAGTTGACGAAGCTTTTCTTAAGATTCTGTGGAACATGTCAGATTACGAGGACATCATGAAAGACTATGATATGGATCCAAAGTTTATTTTGGAAGATTTGCACAACGATCTGTACCGCCATAAAGAACCCTTCAACATTGTGCTATTGGTGATCTATGCCATCGTAATGATCGCTGGACTTCTTGGTAACATTTTTGTGATAGTGGTAGTGGTTCGACAGCAACACATGAGAACTCTTACCAATGTGTTCTTCTTGAATTTGACAATCGGGGACCTGTTGGTTGTGTGTATATGTATACCAATCACATTAGGCAACTACCTATATCGAGACTGGATTTATGGTTTAGTCCTGTGTAAAGTTACGCCATTTCTCCAAGGTACAGCTGTCAGCGTTAGTATTTTCAGTATGTTAGTTATTAGTATCAATCGCTATTTTGCTATACATGTACCACTGAAGGCCAAACTAGTATTTTCCCGCCAAAAAGTCGCCATATTGATAACGTTGATTTGGATAATTTCCTTTTCTGCCATTTGCCCTCTGCTCTTTGTGAATAATGTAACAACTTATGGTGCTCCTGGTATATTTGAAGCCAGGGCTTGTGAGGAACATTGGCAAACCCCGGAGAGCAAGCAGATATACAGTTTAGTTATGCTGGTGGTTTTGTTTGTAATGCCTTTATCTGTGATGGGCGCTATGTATGCTATGGTATCCACTGTGCTATGGAACGCCGACAAACGTCTTTTTCCCAACGGTACAAAAACTGGTAAAATGCAAGCTGATAGATTAGTCCGTCAAAGACGTAAAACAGTCCGAACTCTTATCTGTTTAGTTATAATATTCGGTGTGTGTTGGTTACCGTATTATGTGGTGAATATTTGGCTTGATTTTAACACATCTTCGCCTTGGGCCAACACCGTTATTAATTATGTATACCCTTTGGTACAACTTTTGGCACTGTCCAATTCCACTATTAATCCTATGTGTTATTGTTTCTTTACTAACGGCTTCAGAAGAGCGTTTTTGAACATGTGTTGTCGAAAGAAACGGAGGACAAACAATGGAACCATTATTACAGTTCGATATAAGTGCCCACTTAGCGACGAAAGTGCATTTGAAAGTGTAGAAACTGTGTTATCATGAAAAACTTGTCTTCAGACATATTATTCTATTAACTTAAAAAAAATTTAATATGAGCTCCTCGCTGAGATATTTCATAATATACTCACGATAAAACTGTGCAATTTGGATTGCCAACTGTACATGTTCACTCAAAGTGCTACACAAGTGACTTTATATGTCTATTTTTGTGAATATTTTATTTTATTTACGTTAGAAACGATAGAAGTTGAGGTCGGAATAGATGAGATACGGTGTCACGTGCAGGATTATCGATGCAGTAGAAATTAGAAGAAGCGAATCGTATCCGGATCCGTATGTCTTGTATTCGCTTCTTTTATTTTCTACTGCAGGTTGTTAGATTTGATTTACTTCATAAATCGTCATTGTGTGATTCATATTGTTATATTTTGTAAGATGAACTAAAGGAAATAAACGAAACGAAATCTCTATAGCTGTTTTGATTAATATTTGAATAGGCTTCGCAAAGTGTGAGAGGGCAAATATGTTAATTTTGTGCAAACTGTAAAAAATTAAATCATCTTAATTTATTGAAACTCTCGTGTTTCTCACATCTATGTTGATAACATGATTAACATGTAATGTTTTTATACCATCTATATACAAATTTTTTTGATCTATTTTGTACATCTCATGGAACAGCTGCTCGGAGTTGGCAAAATGGGAGAGTCATTGCATCATTATACCCATCCAGTAACTGTCTATGCCGTGGAATCGTTTATGCTCCGTCTATTTGGCAACTCGCTACTGATCATTAAAGAGATTGTTAAGAGTTTTTCTAAACTTTTTACATGTATTGTGGACACTAATAACATCAATTTTCACCATTCCAATTAAGTCAGCTGTCTGTGGTTCTTGCAAGATCATTAAAACTAAGCGTTTTATGACCTCGCGGCTAATAATCTATAACGGCCTTTGCTATAGTGACGAAGTAAACGCTTAGTTTTAGTAAAATTGCACATCGATGCTGTTAGTGTCCACAAAACACTTAAAATACTAAGAAAACCGCTTTACAGTAGGCCATGATTATCAGGTCATTAAGCAAATTATCAAAAATGTGTATTTATTGTGAACACGTAGGCCTACAAAATGACTTTCACACAGTATATTATTGGACAACTGACGTCAACTATATTTCTTAAACTTTCTGAGCTCCCGGATCGACTCAGCTTGCTCCAGGATTATCCAGTCTTTAGATTAGCCGGTTTATGTTATGACAGAGCCTTGATAAAGGCGAGTCGTCGATGTAATTTTCAAAAATGGATAATTATAGATACTCATGGCAGGGAAGGCTCACATTTCAACTGTAAACTTTAAATACTATTACTGACCAGGTTAGCTGAGCTATTTCAGTTTCTGAGACCAAGGTATGATTTACTAACGAACATTGTGTACCATGGTCTTTCAATATGATGACATAATGTCAAAGTTTACATTATTCATTGGTAAGAATCGTTCTATTTTAACCTTTCAGTCAAGTCTTTGAAGACCCAGACACACATTTCACGCATGGCTCGTTCGAATATTCTGTTTTCATAGGTCTAATTGCTCAGTAATGATAGTCTTCGAAAATGTTTATATCCAATTTTAATTTCTCTTTAGTGGCCAGTGAAAGAGGCGTTTTGAAGGTTAAAGCGCGATCCGCATTGACTTCAACAAACCGATTAACCGTGTGCAGAAATACCAAAAAAGTCATAAAACTCTGTAAGACTGCGTTGGATTTTTTTAAGGAGTTTTGCTATGTGATCTATAATAACTGCATTCGGGAATTTATTAATGGTGTCGATGCCAAGGCTGTCATCCCTGCCTTTTTTCTTTACAGACGACCCAGTTTGACGACTTTCTGCATGGAAAACAAATACTTAGGCGCAAATATGTATTAAATTTTTAACTGAGACATCTGCTTTACCGTCGTGCAAAATGAACCACCATAAGAAGACGCGAAACGAAACTTTGATATTTGCAATAAATATTCATAAAAGTTTATGTCCAAATGTGAACTCTCTGGAAAACGATGTCAACACCCTTGATGTAGAGTGGTATCGAGCGTTCTGGTATCTAACATACGAGAATGATTCAACATTGTAGCCTCAAGTCCACTGAAATTGATTAATTACGTGTGCGTTGCCGTTCGTCTTATTTGCTTGCTTTTATTAATGTTGCCTTAGAACTAGATAGCTTTGTTAAAGAAAAATATTTATTTGGCCGCCGGTTCATCTTCTGTTTACAAGTTTATGGTTATACTTCTTTGACTCTGAAAGTCTACCAGTAAGGATCGAGTGTTCCGCTGGGGGACAGGAGATTTCTCTAGACATTAGATCTATTTTTGTCATGATGATTTCTTATCAATATAATTTTAACAATAATTTGATCAGTTATTCTTAAAAGTCAGTATCAAAATCTCTACTTTGTCCTCTATATATAAGGCATGACCCATCAAAATACAGTCCAATAACGCACCATTCGCCAAATCTCGGCAGTTCCTGTGAAGCTGAATCTGTAATGCGGAGCAGAAAGTTCACAGTAGACCGTGACACTTTTTTTACGTTTGCAATATTTTGTTAAATAGTCTCTCTTGAAATACCATGACCTATTAACCTTTTTTTTTTTGAAAGACCCCCTCCCTCTCCCCAGCCCCCTAAAAAACTGTCAGAATGCAACATTTTATCATTGAAACTTGTGAAAAGGGTTCCTAAATTGTGCTCTAACTTGTGTGTATTGTTGGGCATTATTAACAGGTCGATATTGTTAGTTGAAGCCTTTAGAACAAATAGTTTCTCTAAAACGACCTTCCCTTACCAATAAAGAGAACGTGATTCACTTTATCTAAGAACCTTCTTATATATTTCAATAAATCGTAATGACCTTTTTGGGACTCTCATACAATATCTTTTTCGGTAGTTATGTTTCTGATTTGTATTTTATCAACATTATAATGTGATACCAAAACAGAATCAGAGGTAAGGTATTCAAAAGGTTTCACTGCTTCAATAGTTTACGACGAGGCATCCAACGTTAGTCCCCTCAAAGCTGAGACAGGCAAAGCTCACTAGTCATGACCTACACTAATTGTTAATGAAAGGGAAGGAATTAATAATCTGTGTTTCTCTGTAATAAGATAATAAAATAGCTACTGATAGTGGGTACAGAAGAACTATACCACGCAGTATGTGATCTTCTTACTACTTACTACTTAGTTGGTTAGTTGATAGATGTCAAGGTAACATTGGCTTCCAAGCAGAAGCTGATATCCCAGACAAGGTAGCTGTTGGTGATTGTGGTAGTTGAATCTGGAATCATTAAACGGTTTGGTAGTTAAGACGTTTTTAACTACTCGCTACCGCAGGGATTTTATAGCAAACTCCAAAACACTATACGTTCAAAAATATTGTTCCCTTGCATGAAGATCAGATGTAACAGGCTACAGGTTAACGCTTGCGTGAATTTTTCAGTCCAGATGTAAAAGGCTACGTGTTTCACTTGCGTGAAGTTTTAAGTCTGGGTGTAACAGGATTCAAGTCAATGTACGTCCGAGAGGGGGGAGGGGGGATATCTGAGATTTCCCGAATTTCTAACTTAGTTATGAGATTTTTGCCCGAAAAACTGTCTTTTGCTCCGCCACTGCTTTAAGCAAAATTTCTGTCGTAGTAAGTCGAAACTTTTATTGGCAAATTGCAAATAACCACTCACACACATCAGATAAACCAAAATAAATGTTTTCCCTATGTCTCGGGAACTAAAACAATTTCAAACTGTACTACATACATAAATTAGTTGGGTTTTTTTGTCAACATCTGTACGAGAAATTCCAAAGAAACTGTGACTCGTGCCGTACAGAATGCACCGACTGATTAGACCATTTATCACCTATCAATGTCAATTACGTTGACTTTTTAAGTCAGTTTCTTAAAACAGAAAAAAGCTGAGTACGATTTAATTCAAATAAGATTTACGTCCAGAATGGGTTTTGTCCACTAAATTACAACAATTTCAAGAAAAAATTTGCTTTGCTTTAAGTTGCATAATTAAAATCAATTGAAACGTTTAATCAAAAAGCACAAAATGTTACGGATCGTACTATAATCTAGATAGTCATTTCTTTTTTGTTTCAGATTTGGCCCCGACGGATTCAACAGAAAATTGTTCCCTTGAAGATATGCTTTTCTATAAAAGCACTGGTCAAGTTTACAAGTAAAGAGTACAGTTCGTTTATCACTACACCAATGTGAAAACAATATTGCACTTATTTCGTTGTTATGGGAATAACAATACATTTGCTTAATTGGTCGTAAAGCAGTTAATATGCTATAAAGGAAGACTGTTCAGGACGAGACTTCTTAAATATCATTTCAGTAAATATATAAAAATTAGCCATTGTATGAGTAATCGCTTCAAATACCATTAGGTTTCTAATGAAGCGAAACCACATATACGTCATTGGAAAAATGCGTTAGGTGTCGTTTAAGAATCTATTGCGTCTCATAATTAAACATTTAAGGCAGAGAAAAAAGACCATATTCTACAAGGATAACTACGTAGGTTTCTCAACTATTATGTCTATGAGTAGCCCCGACAAATCTGGCTCAATTGCAAATAGATGACATCAGTGTCCCCGATGTACATAAAATTTTGGAAGAAACTGTTTACAATCCCTTTAACTGATAGTCAAGAATGCCAAGACAAACATTACGAACCGAGGTGATGTTGAAAGCGGCCAAGGTTTCCAAAGACAGTCAGATCATCTACCTAGATTAGAGCCTAAAGGTACAGACATTTAGAGAAATTATCAATGATGTTATACGGTGTGTTAACTACAGCCGTCATCTAATTATACCATTTTTAACTCTTCTAACTATATAACTACATGGTCGAGAAACGAGAGT